GATCTCTAATGCAATGGATTGCACCGCCTCATTGGCTTCCCAGAATTCTTAAATAAAGCCCTGCCTTCCCCGTCAGCCTCAATCTACACAATCTCTCTAGCCACCCCAGGGCCTTTTCACAGGCTGCCCATCCCATTGGGCCTTCCTCCTCTACTTTTCACTAGAAAAACTCCTGCTTATTCTCGCGTCTCTGCCTCAGAGGGGCTATCTGCAATATTCTTCTTTAAGTCATGTCTTCTGTGGTCTTTCTTCTTAGGATACCCTGTTCTCTTCCTCTATAGTACTTATCACGATACATGGTTATTTATTTATGTGTTCATTTGTTTAATGTCTATATATCCCATAACACATAAATAAATAACCAAGGATCATGTCTGTTTCGGTCACCACTGTTTACACTTGTAAACCCAGTACCTGGCACATAGTAGGTGTTAAAAAATATTTATGAAAAGTATGGATAGACTTTAAAGACAAGGAGGAGAAAAGCAGTTAGAGCTTTCCCCATGCTCACTGAATGTCTTACAAATAAAATTACAATCAAATAATACCGTGAAAAACACAACGGAACACCTTTAATACAATAACTTTGAGGTACCTTCCCCCTTCTTAGTCATTCCCCTCCATTGCCATAAACAGGTTAGGGTTTATCCAGAGGAGACAGAGAATTGTCTTGGGCATTGAGCTATCCGTATCCCACACTGGAGTGGGAGGGGACTGTGGCTGGGTGAGAGGTAGGAGGGTTTCCAGTAAGGCCCAAGGGGAATCGTATTTAAGGGGAATCCCGAGAAAGGAAGGACTTAACAATATTGCTCAAATTTTCCAATCTGTTACGAAAATCTTACGAGTATGTTTAGGAAACCTAAATGTATAAGCACTAACGCTGACTGCTTGTAATTGGTGCATTACACATCTCTGTGGTCCTTTAAGTCACTTCCCTGCATCCAGCTCTCCCAGAAAAACGGCTCTCTGGCCTTTATTTCTTTTTAATAACCCAAATTTCCTTTGGCAATTTATAGCATTCTTCTACACTTACAGCTCTTCAAAATAGTTAGCCTTTATTAATATTCAAATCCTTTCAAATACAACCAAATCCCCCATTAAATGCTAAAGACATATAGGAAAATGACTCTCCACCACTCACACTCCATATCTGGAAGACTATTCCAGTATTTTTATATATATATATATATTTTATTGATTTTTTACAGAAAGTAAGGGAGAGCCAGAAACATCGATGAGAGAGAAACATCCATCAGCCGCCTCCTGCACACCCTCCACCGGGGATGTGCCCGAAACCAAGGTACATGCCCTTGACCGGAATCAAACCTGGGACCCTTGAGTCTAAAGGCTGGGGCTCTGTCCACTGAGCCAAACCAGTTAGGGCTATTCCAGTATTAAGTTGCATGATATTTAGTTACACAATGGCCTTCCAGTCACCAGCCTTAATGAATATTTATTTTAATCTGTTAAACTGATAATTTCCCCAAATTTTGTTGCTCTTAACATGCTAAAAGAACAACACAGTTTTAATTGATCTAGAATCCCAAACTACATGAGACTAGAGAGCTGAGCAGAGAACCCTACATGTTAGTCACCTGATTCTGCCTCTCAGATTCAAGTCTGTTTTATGACCAGAAGACTTAACTGATTCCCATTTAACTGAGGCCCAACTGAGACCTGAGAGGTCTTTAATAGGTAAGCATTAAGTGCAAAACCAATTCATTCTATGTATTCTTAAGTAAAGCGACTATGTATGACTCTTCCCTATTAAATGTACCCTATCCTACGTCAGCCTCTGGTGCTTCAAAGATGTGTGTCATCACACTAAAGTCAAGGTCTGTGAAATCTGAGTCATTATAAAAAGTATATTCTCTTAACTCCAAAGATACAACTGAAGGAGGCTTATCAAAAGAACAAGCGGAAATATTAGCACAGTTAGCTCTTAATGCCTTGAGTTTCAGCTTCTAGACTCATAATAAAAGTCATACTCTATAACACCAACCTTATTTGCTAGAGATGAACACACACACACACACACACACACATACACACACACACTTACACACACACACACACACACACACACACACAAACCTACAGACCAAGATTTGAGCTTTTGACCTTGGCCAGTGTTGCCAAGTGGTTAGAGTGTCAAGTGGTTAGAGTGTCTGTCTGGGCACCAAAGGTTCAATTTCCAGTCAAGGGCACATACCTCAGTTTAGGTTCACTCCCTCTCACCCCACCCACCACCCACCCCCTGTTGGAATGAGAGTGGGAGGCAACCAGTCAATGTGTCTCTCTCACCTCACACCTCTCACCTCTGTCTCTCTGTCTTTCTCGCTTTCTCTTCCCCCTCCCCCTTCCACTCTCTGAAAAGCAATGGGGAAAATATCTTCAGGTGAGGATTAACAACAACAAAATTTTTTTAATTTTGAGCTTTTGTTTTGTTTCTGGTTTTTAATGTCTAAAGAGGAGTCAAACCATTAATGACTAGTTCAAATAACTTCCTAGCCCAACGAGTTTCTGTTAAAATTCCGTCTCTCGTGTATATCTCATTTTCCAAATCCCAGCTATCTTGAGGGCCCAAGTGATGGACCCTGGCATCAGACAGAGTTTGTTTAACTGGGTTCCCAGCACCTTGGAAAGTCTCAGGAAATGATCAATGGAATGCCTGTAGTTTCTCCTACTGCTAGAGGAGCAAATAAGAGTAGCCTTCCTTAGTGAATATAAAAAATAAAATAAAAACATCACTAAGTGCTATTTCCTACAAGCTGATACTTCGACTAAGGGGTAATCGGTTCATATAATAGTGGCAGGAGTAACCAATCTGGGTTTAGGATTACAACGGAGAGGATGTGAAAATGAAGATGCAAAGCCTAAACACTTCCTGAAATAGGGAACTTAAGGAGGTTTTCACTCCTCACAAAGCAGTAACAGAACTTTTTGAGCCTATATATGGGCCCCCTGAACCCAGGAATCCAGAAACAACTGACAAACATTAAGTCAGGACACAAGCTCCATTTAAATAGGGAAACGGGTTTTGAGAGACAGAGCAGCCTGAGGCCCAACCATGAGTCAGGACCAGACCCAGGGAGGGTCCCGAACGCCACCTCTGGCAGGGAGAGGCACTCTTTCTTTCAAGGGAGTAAAATGCTCCCGTAAGAAGCAGATGGCAGAGACAGATGATAATATCCACATATTTTTGGGTTGGGACCGAATAAAGGACCGCCAATGGCTCCCAGTTGAAGCCAGAAAGGAAACCAACCCAAGGCCCCAAATGTCATTTAAGAAAATGAAAAATGAGCACAGCTTCAGCCCCTCCTCAGCAAAGACACTGTTCACCTGATGGCTTGTAAATTGATGCCATGAAAATACCCCATCCATCCTCACCTATGGCTCTCCATCTTTATCTGATTTGAGTTCAGAAATACCTATTCATCTTTGGCCAGATAAGCGAATCGGGTATTACATTTGCAAGCATGCACGCTGAAATTGGACCCACCCTACAGAGAAAGGAGTCCGGTAACTTCAAACCCTCTGGCTTTTCCTGTCTCCTTCGCAGGAGAAAGTTAAAAACCTGTTGGTATCTAAGCACAAAATGTGAATCAGTGTGCTTCATAAACTGTGGGGGTTGGGGGGCAACATGACTGGCTTGCATATTTAAGGTCCAGCAAGTAGCCAATTAAGCAAAGCAAGGCTTAGGTTTGGGTATACAAGATGAACAAATGCTCCATTCCAAACACGTGTGAAAGACAACAGATAACTGGGTAACATCTTGGAGTGAACTGAGTTTTGCCCAGTTTTCCCTGTAGGAGTGAGTTACCCTAACTGACAGTGATCGGCAAACTCATTAGTCAACAGAGCCAAATATTAACAGTACAACGATCGAAATTTCTTTTGAGAGCCAAATTTTTTAAACTTAAACTTCTTCTAATGCCAATTCTTCAAAATAGACTCGCCCAGGCCGTGGTATTTTGTGGAAGAGCCACACTCAAGAGGCCAAAGAGCCACATGTGGCTCTCGAGCCGCAGTTTGTGGACCACGGCCCTAACACATAACTCATGGGGAGCTACAGGTGAGCAGCCATCTGGAGGGAGTAGGGCCAGAGAGAACTTGACAAAGAAACACAATGCCTACCTCCCAGTTGAGCTGGGCCAAGGGCAAACCCCGGCTCCAGCCATCGCTGAGAAATCCTTACTCATTTGGGGCCCAGGCAAACAGGGTTAAATATTTTTCAGTCTGAAGGTGGTGCATTCTTTGGGGAGGGAGGGGTAAATTCTCTTCACCAACTACTGGGGCCTGGGTGGAAGTGGGAGTTTGGGGGGGAGATAGCCATCACCTGGCAACCTGCACACCCCATTCCTGGCAACCTGCACACCCCATTCCTGGCCCCCACCTCCACCCACTCCTCACTGTAACGCCCCGCTCCGTCCAGGGGTGATTTCCGGAGCCAGGGAGTGTCAGTGGGTTGCATTCCTCCAGTTAATCCTCTCAGCGCCAAGGCCCGGCCGTTCCCAGCTCGGTCAGTGCCATACCTAGGAGGCTTTACCTAATGAATGCGAATATCAAATACACACACTACCCACACTAATAACAGGAATTCGTCGGGCCACCTGTAGTTTTCAGTTCATCAAAGATGCATGAGGTGCTTGCTTACTGAGTTTCAGGCGCTGAGCGACGCCAGGCAGATAGAGAATACCCCCCCCCCTCCCTCCCTCCCTGCCTTCGGAGCCCGCACGCCGGGGAGCTGGCGCAGGGGCCGGAGGGAGGAGTGGGAGCTGGAAGAGAATGCTCGTGCTGGTCCAGGGGTTCCTCCCGAAAGGTGTCCCTCTGTCCGTCCCCCTGAGACCCAGCAGCGCCTGCACTCCGCCTTCTAAGAGGATCTCAGCGCCCCACCACCTGCACGGCCCCCGCCGGGCTCCCGGTCCTCCCCCGGGTCCCGATCCTCCCCCGGGCTCCCCGGGCTCCCGGCTCCCGGGCCTCCCGCTGGCCGCACTCACTGGGTCTTCCTGCGGCCCTGGTCCCGGTGCAGCTCCCGCAGGTCCACCTCCACGCGCCCCAGGAACTTGTCGAGGCCGAGCAGCGCGCGGTGCAGCACGGTGAGCTGCAGGGTGGCGGCGGCGGCGGGCGCGGCGCCGGCGGACAGCAGCGGCGGCAGCTCGAAGGTGGCCTCCTCGCGCCACACGGGCGCGCCCAAGCTGCGCTCCGACACCGAGGTGGCGTACTTCTCCTTGCCCACCTGGATCACCGCGTACGCGTCGCTCGTGCCCCCGGGGCCCTTGGCCCGCAGGCCCCGCGCCTGCAGCACCGTCACCTGCACGTGGGTCGGGGACCACACGGCTCCCGGGCCCCGGCCCGCCGCAGCCGCCAGGGACATGGTGACAGCGCCGCGGGAGTGCTCTACGGAGGGATGAGCTGACCGCCGCTACCCGCGGCCTCTAAGCCCGCCCCGCCGCCCCGGCCTCTTTAAGGCTTCCGGCCACGCCCCCTACAGGCCACGCCCCCGCGCCAGCCACGCCCCGCACTGCCACCCCGGCCTCCTTAAGGTTTCCGGCCACGCCCCTCTCGGCCACGCCCCCAAGCCAGCCCCGCCCCACTGCCCGGCCTCTTTAAGGCTTCCGGCCACGCCCCTTATGGCCCCGCCCCCCCTCGCCCGCCCACCGGCTGCGGAGCAGCCCTGCGAGGCCCCGGCACCGGGGCGGCCCGGCGCGGAGGGCGGGGCGGGGCGGGGCGGGGCGGGGCCGGAGAATGCCGGGCTGGGAGGCGGTAGGTAGGTGAGCGATGGAATCCGCCACCGTTGTCGCCTGGCCCAACCTGAATTGGCGGAAGCCCAGGCTTGGGAGTCAGACCTCATTCCCAGTCCGGCATTGCCCACGTGTGGGACCTTGCACAGATTACTGAGCATTTTTTTAAAAAAATATATTTTATTGATTTTTTTACAGAGAGGAAGAGAGAGGAATAGAGAGTTAGAAACATGGATGAGAGGGAATATCGATCAGCTGCCTCTTGCACACCCCCTACTGGTTATGTGCCCACAACCAAGGTACATGCCCTTGCCTGGAATCAAACCTGGACTTTTCAGTCCACAGGCTGAAGCTCTATCCACTGAGCAAAACCGGTCTCGGCACTGAGCATCTTGTGGTCTCAGTTTCTCTGCCGAACAAAAGGAGATAACAGTCTAGATTTGCTGTAAAATATAATGGAGCCTGAGAAACTCAACTACAGACTGATTCATTTGCCTCTCAGTGAGTAACCATTATGGTTTGCCTCGTTTTCAATTCTTATAAGTGTATTTCTTGGATCACATGATCTCACGCATCTAAGGGAAATAACATAAGCTGAAGAACAAAAACAGACCTGGTGACAGGGAAGCATTGATCAGACTGTCAAACCTCAGAGGGAAGGCAGGGGAGGGTAGAGGAAAGGGGGAAGAGATCAACCAAAGGACTTGTATAAGCCTAACCAGTGGCCATGGACAACAGGGGGATGGGGGCATACATGGGGAGGGGTTTGGGATGGGAATAGGGGGATGAGGACAATTGTGTGATACCATAACCAATAAAGAAATTAAAATATATATATAATGGATCCTGGCACTTGGTGAATTCTCATTGAGTGATGGCTATCAAAGTGATAAAGAACTTGACCCCGAACTCTGCCCTCTTTCTACTTCGGCCTCGGGGTGATGACTGTGGAAGGCGGGGGTCCTGGGATGGTGCCAGGTGGGTGGGGAAGGAGGAGGCTCATTTCAAAGCCTGAAAAGGGGAAGGTAGAATAGAGGGGGTGGGACAGGAGGTTGGAGGTATCCTGTGTTGCCCTGCTCTCACCAAATAAGGTGAGGCTAAGAGTAAATATGAGAAGGGGAAGAAAGGGGAAACTGAAAACGGGGTTGCCAAACTAGACGTCAGGAACAGAGGCTTCACCCACCCCCAGTTCCCCATTTCTTCCTGGCTGGATGGACCCTCTTCGGATTCCTCATTCTTTATCTCTTGATTCCAGTTAGTCATTCCCTTGCTCCAAATGTCCACTAGATTGGCCTATTCCCTCCATTCCCAATAGCCTACTTCAAAGGCTTAGCTGAACCATCAGATTCAAAAGCTCACTTTGAAAGTTTTTAGGTTTTACAGTTAAGAAAAGACCCAGAGCAAAGAAGTGATGGGTTCAAGGCCCCACAACAGATCCAGGACTAGAACCCAGGTGTCCTGACTCCCATCCAGGGTTTTTACTGTATCCCTTGTCTCTTCCGGATCCTCAGAACCCCAATCTTGGATTGCCACTAGTATCCCCCTGACCTCTAGGCTCCCTTCAGTCCACACTGCACACTGCTGCACTAACCCGCTTGAAATCCTACAATGTTGCCTCACTTGCATCAACTTCAAACTTAGAGATTTAAAGACATTCCTATTTGATCCAGCCCTGACTCATTCTCCTCTATCTCCTGAACAAATTGTAGCCCAGAGAGTCTCCCCATCTCCAGGCCTTTCGCTCTTAGCTGCCTTGCCAGCCTCTTTGACTACTCGAGTCCTACCAACCGCAAAGTTTCACTCAGATTTCTCCAAGATTTAGCTTCTGATAGCCCCCTTCAGGGTAGGGGCCAGGTGGTGACTTCTTTAACCTGTTTCCTCCACGGCCCCTAGCAGAAGCCTGAGTACACAGTAGGTCCTTGAGAAGTGTTATGGAATGGAAGAGTTGGAGGTTATTCCAGCCCATCATGAGTACACAGTGTTCTCTTTTCCCGTGTAGGGAATTACAACATTACGCCTCAGGTTTGCAACTGAGGGCGGCTACAGTGTGGGAAAAACCTATTTAGCACGTTGTAAATAGTTAATGTGATGAGTAGGGAAAAGCAAAGGAGGCGCCAGACACGTAAAAGTCAGGAAAGCTTAACAGAGAACTCTGTTGTTTTCATGCTATTTCCCCCTCCCCGCCATTTATTAACCTCATTCAACCTCACGGCTCCATTCATTACTATAAAGATTTATTGAGGACTTGCTTCATGCTAGATATTACCTCTGAATGAGACCCACTTCGAAGGCACACTATGGCAAATGCTATAAAAGAGTCCTGGATTAATATAATGCTTTGAGTGATTTGAGGAGAAAGTGACTTCTCTATGCAAGTAGCTTTTCATGAAAGATGTCGTGTGGAGGTGGGCCTTAAAGGGTATAACAGATTTGATGGGTAGAGAAGATGATGGGGAAAGAGCATTTCAGAAGGAGAGAACGGACCAGCCTAAGCAAAGGCATGGGGTCCAGAGAGTTCATGGCATGTTTAGGGGTTACAAGTACCCCATGGAGGGCTAGAATGCAGGATATTTTAGGAAGCCGCTGGGGGACAGATGGTGGTGATAATAAGATGGCCAAGGAAGTTGGGCCTAGATCATGCAGATCACCAGCTCCAGACTAAGGAGTTTACACCACAGTGTTAAACCAGGTGAGCCAGCCTTCAGAGGACTTTGAGCAGGGGTTGGATCCAGCTGTGCTTCAGGTTGTAAGGCAGGTCTGAGCAGAGGTAGCTCAGCAGCCAATAGCATAGCAGGTCACAGCCAGATAACCTTCCTTCATGTTCACCTGGGGACATCTGCCTGCAGCCCCTTTCTGTCCCATCCCTTACCCATGCTTGGTGTCTGTTCTGTATAGGTACTGTATCAAACAAGGCATATTCTTCCCTCTTGGTTGTCCTACCTGTCGACTGTTCCACTAGTGATTGGGGTCAAAACTGACCCTGGACAGAAAGTTTTTCAGCTCCGGCCTCCCCTCCTCACTCACATTCTCACTGTTAGTACAGCCCCCAAGATACAGAGAGCCAGGAATGAGACCCAGCTGGAAGCCTAGCAGGCTGAGCATGACAGGACGCATTCCTTCCATTCATGGAAAGGATTAGAGGACAAAGTGTGGGGGAGGGGCGCCGTGGTGAGGGGAGGGAGAATTGTGAGCACCTGTGACCTCACGTGTTTGGGTTTCTGTCGGACACAAATAGGCTCTGTGCTAAAATGAGAGGTGGTAGGCAGGTTCGATTCTGATCAGGGGCATGTGCCTTGGTTGCAGACACATACCCAGTGGGGAGTGTGCAGGAGGCAGCTGATTAGTGTTTTTAACTCTCTCTTCCTTCCTCTCTGTAAAAAAATGAATAAAATATATTTTAAAAAGAAAAGAAAGAAAGAAAGAAAGAGCCTTCTCTCTAGACACTGGACACTAGCAGAGTTAAAACTCAGAGGAGTGGGGCTCCCTGGAGGCAGCAATTGGACTTCGGTCAGAGAAGAGAGTCTCTAGGAGATCCAGAGCAGGGCATGCTTGGGAATTGGCTTACTGCTTCCTAGATGCCTGGATGGTCCTTTTCTCTCCTCCTCTGGCCAGAGCACACTGTCCCTAAAGACTCACTCACTGACCGCCCTGGAGTGAGAATCTGTCTTCTCCCCATTTGCAGACTTAGTCTGCGGTCCTGTGACGGTGGACCCAGCAGGCTCACCGAATTCCTGGTGTTTGCAAACACCTCCCACAGTCAGGGTGTGCCTGGTGACTGCTTTTTCCTCTCACCCTGCCCCGCCTCTCGCTCTGACTGAAAGAGGAGTTTCAGTCAGCCCAGAGCACAGGGACAAGGCGCCCGGCAGGTTAGACTAGACAAGTTAGCCACCTGTCCTCTCCCAAAGCAGCAGAGCAGAGAGGGCGCCGACTCCAGCAGACCAACCTGACCCCGGGCCTCTCCGCAGGCAGCACCCACGGGTGCAGGTAGATTAGGAGCAGATTGTCTTATAGGCGCAGCTGGAAAGAATTTCCCTCTAGGGCATTGTGTGGGGCCATGCTAGGGGCGGTGAGGTTGGACATGCCTAAGGAGGGACTTTTGCTACCCCGCTACTGCCAATCACTCCTTCCCACAGCTCTTCACTGTCCCCCAACTGCAAGAACGCTAACTCAGAATCATCTCTGGGGACTCTGGATGGGCCAACGTGCTATCCTAAGGGAGGAGCACAAAGGAGCTGGGAATGGCTGCTTGACTCTCTTCTTTGTTTCAGACTCTGAGGTGTGGTGACAAAAGTCCACACACATGACTCATTCACTGTGGACCTTGGTAAAAAGCCCTCTGGTTTCTCTAGGTTTTTGGTTATTCTGGGATCACTCAGCTGACCAAGGAGACTACCTTTCAGGTGTTAGCTAAGGGGCTTCCAGCCTCACCAGTTCCCATTCAATCTTGTTAACGGGCTTCTTTGTTTAACAAAGCTTTCCTCATAGGTTACACAGAGGTATTATCTTTCCACTGTGTCAAGTCCCTTCCAAAAGGCCTTTAAATCTCCCAACTAAAAGGCTATGGGGAGTGTGTACCCCTTACCCTCCCACTCTCGGCACAAAGCCTTTCCTCTCTCTCTCTTAATTCCTAGCT